GTTTAAACTGTTATTTGTCTTTTTACTCTTTGATGATGCATCATACACAATTCTTAGTTTCGTTGTGATTTTACACTCATTGATAACTGGGTGGTGTGGGATATAGTGACAAACTGTTAAGTCATCGTTAGGAGGAGCTTTTTCAATAATTCCGTTACAGAGTTGATCCTTGATTGTTTTATCGTACTCTTCAAGCACACTAGATTTGTTTTTAAAACGGTACAAAAGTGAGTTAAGTCTTGAAAGAGACAAATTGTAGTTTTTTGGTAAGTCAGGGGGATACTCCTTCCAAGGCCAACCAACCGAATACCTACTATTTTCAAGCTTAATAGTTTCATTGAACTGACCCAAAGCTATATCATCATCATTTTGATGAGGGCAATCACGAATCCCTATACTATCCAAACTCCATAGGTCTTTAATATGCAAATCTTGTACAAACTGTGAGTCTGGTTCCACAAAATGATTCCTTAAATTAAAAACATTTGTAGGTTGTGACATAGTTAGAAAGGACGTAGAGTAATTATTTGATTTTGCATCATTTGGTGATTTTTCCCTCCCACTTAAAATCCAGCCAACCTTAGATCTTATTAGATACAAACCAGAGTGTACTTCGATCTTTTCATTAGTTATAAGGTCAAAGTAGAAATCATTTCCTATTAACAAGTCAATGACTGAATCCTCATTTTGACCCTCGGCAAAAGTAAGGGATGGAAACCGAGATTGTATCTGGGAAACATCAATACTAGAGGTACTGCTTAACTTTCCCGTGATTTGAGGCACTACATTACAACTTAGATTGAAAACCTTACCATCACTTAATATGAGTCCGGTAGTTACATTTTGTGTTTCAAAGGTTTTTGCATCTTTATTACCAAAGGTAAATACAGATAAAACTTGAGTGTTATTGCTCTTTAGTTTAAGTTTTGATGCAATATTAGTACAGATATAAGATCTTTGACTCCCGGTATCAAACAAAACTTTAGTAGGCTCTGTCAAGCCATTACTCGTCAAATAAACCTTAGCCGTTTGCAAAATCACATTTTCATGAACCGTAACAAGAGAAGGTTCGCTACAGACTTCGGGATTGACAGCACAATTTTCGGGAGGCTTAAGGGACTGTGAAAATCTTTTGGGACAAAGACTTCTATGATGGTTCTTCCTTTGTTTGCAATATACACAAGGTTTGCTTACCTTACAATCCTTTAAGTTGTGTCCACTCTTCAGGCAAATAAAACAGAGACCTTTGACCTTACCTTTTCTTTCTTCAACAGTTTTATACTTCTGGCATTGGTCGTTCCAGTGGGCGTCTTTGCAGAAAATACAGGTTGCAGTTCTGTTTTCGGTTGAAGGGAGGGCCTGTGTAGTTGAAAAACTACCTTTTTCTGAGCTACGAAAGTAGTGTCCGTTTTCTGATGGTGGGATGGAAGTTTTTGTTGATCCAAAACCTAATAAAAGTTGTGACTTTTCTCTAGCTACGATTATATTTCTTACTATACTACATAATTTAGTGGCATCAAGAGTATTATCAACGTTGTTTTCCTCTACTTTTATGACTATATCCAGAGGAAGTTTCCTCATAATCAGAGAAAAAAAGAAATTCGAGTTGGTATCTTCGCCTAAGTTTTGTAGACACCTGATGTGTTTGTCAATAACATCGAATAAGTTCCTAAGTTTTCCAGTGACGTTCGATTTTAAGGGACTTAAGTCCATCAAGGTTTTGTAATGCGAATTGATTATGAGTTGTTTGTTAGCAAATCTTTCTTGGAGTAAAGAAATGGCAACGTCATAATTGTCAGCAGTTAATTGTAGACCAGCAATGCATAGTTTGGCCTCTCCATTCAAAAGGGAGTTAAGATAATTGAATTTATCTACTTTAGTTAAATAATGCTGACTGTGAATGGCAGAGTTGTACGAGTCCCAGAACTCTTGCCATTTAAGAATGCTACCTTCAAACATGGGAAGGATTAGTTTGGGCAGTTGTACTAAACTGTGTGGATTTTCCAACACTCGCTCGGACGAAAGACCATTTGAATTATTGGCATGATCATTGATAGCTTTCGTGTTGAAGGCTTCAAGTCTTACCTTCAAGGTTGATATTACTTGCTCACTGTCAAGTACGATACCAAAAAGGTCCTCGGCGTCGTCGGTACCCTCCACAGTTGCCGACCTGTTGGCTGTGTCTAGGTCAATCTGTTCCATCAAGGCTTCTAGGCGAGCTGAATAGCCTTGCAGAGTTGCCAGCGTCGCTAGTAGCGCGTTCCTCGAAGGGTCCTCGTCGTTAAGCAGTGTAGTCGCCTCTGCAAGGGTAGACTTCACACGTGCCGTGAGAGTGGCAGCCTTCTTCCTCAGTCGAGTCGTCATGTTCAAAGTTCAGTTGAAGTTAGACAGTACAAATAAGTGAAATAAAGATCAGTTACGTGTGGATCGTTGCAGCTCTGCTACCATGTCAAATAGTTAGTTGTTCAAGTTTAAAGTTAGTTAGTTTTATAAGATTAAAAGTTAGATAAAACTGAAATAAGTTGAGAGTTTGGTTCACAGTTTTTGTATTTTCATAGTAACAATTATAAGTTCAAAACAATAACAAAATGAATTATAACCAGCTGGCATTAAATATATTAATGTAATCCATGCCTTTGGCACAAAGAGTATATTTTTTCTGTGAAACCTTATTTTTAAGTCAGACGACGTGTGGATGTAATTGGATGAAAATCAAGTGACATGTTTTACATGATTGTTTTTCACATTAAAACATCGAAAATTGGCAATGGTGAAAAATTAGAAGGTTATGTTATTTTGTCTTTGATCTTGAAAAAATCTTACTTAATTATGTAGACTAGCTTTTCTGAATTGTAGACAGTAACTGACTACTTTATTCCTGTGCGTGACGGACCAACAGCTAGTACAATTAATAAACCTGCATTTATGCATATTTTACATTAGTCATAATTAGTTATAATCATCATTCGAAAATTTGAATTGCATTATGGCCATTAAAACCACCAAACATACACGCGATATTAAATTATCGGCCCTATAATATTATTTTTAGAACGTAACACTGCATAATACTTTCAGTTTTTTTATTTATCTTCAATAGGTAGATGTTTTGTTTTGATTGTTTACCATCCGTCGTGTTCAGATTATATTTTCCTGACGTACAAGGTGGTTTATTTTATATATTACTAGCTGTTGTACCCGTGCTTCACAACGGAAAGGACACTGAAGCGAAAAAATTTGATCTTGAATTCAGTTGTATAAAAATAGTTACACATTCCTCTTTGGTTTCAGGAACATAACTCAATTGAAACTCTTAGTTTGACAAATATCTTTCTTTAAGGCTAGGCTAACTTATAAGGCTACCTAGTACGAATTATATGAGGCGCTGATGCATTTATGGAAATAATGTACCCATACGATTCAATTTTCAAATGATAAGCTTTCTTAAACATTTATTTCGTTGATAAACGTACATATAAAGTAAATAAGGAAAAATAATCGCACAACATAAAGCATTGTAGTAAAGCAAAAAAAACAGTTTATATTGATTTCACATATAATTGATATGTATTACCGTAGCTAAGGAGCTTTTTTCAAAGTTCAATCTTTACCTGCAGATCAGTGTGTATGTATCACAATAATAAGCAAAAATAAACTAATGGAAAACTTGTATTACCTTTTGTTAGAAAGCCTACCACTATTATTGTTAATCAGGGCACAAATTTCATCAATTTAAATAATAAACAACAACGAAATACATAACAGTAATTATTTTAGCTCGTTCCATAGTTCAAAACGTGTATGTATTTGTATTAAATTACGTCATTATTTAAAACATCAAGTAAAGAAACAGTTACGTTACAGATTTGAGATACAAAAGTGAATTGCGTGCAGCTTAGTTTTGTGATATTCTCCATAGTCAAATTAAAGCAGTGTTGTAAATATACAACTTCTAAGGAGATTTCTGTAAATAAAAAAGCGAACTATGTGAAGTAGATGATGGAAGAAAATATAATTAGTAGCAGCTACCTCTGGACAGAATAAAAGTAGGTACCGGTATAGTTGAATTTAGTTTGTAAATTGAATTAAAACACAAATAAAAGTGTAAACAATTGAGTCAGTTAATTTTTTTAAACTGTACCAGTACATATTTCTTAGTTTTTTAAATATATTAAAATCCCAATCCAAATATTTGTTTATCAGTTCAAATTTGTAAACATAAAGCTATCATATCAAAATTATTCGAAAATTTTATACATTGTAATATATATACTGTATATAAGAATATCAGCTCTTACCGTGCCTGGGAAATCCACTAAATCTAAAGGTATAGCTAGATGTGTGTCTATAGTACATAAATTGTGATTGTTACTCTTTTCTACATTAGATTGTGAGCTTATTATTCTCCATCTCATCCGTTGCGAATGACGGGTAAACCAACCCGTCACTACAATTAGTACAATTGCTATATATCTATAGGATATATAATGGAATATTTATATATCTCTAGGATATATATAGATATATATCCTTCTATTTCCATAAAAATAAGTATACTTTCATAATTATATTAATCAAACTATTCTCACAATCATAAAACTTTAGAATCTTGGGAGCAGGAGCTGTACCTCTTAACCTCTGCTGTTTGAACTGTCAAATTATAGTATTTACAGCTGACTTCAATTAATACTTTTTACTATTTACGTTCTTCCAAAATGTAAACATTGAAACTTTAGAAGCCCATGGGGCGTAGCCCAAGGGAGATATAATAACAGGAATAGGCCTATATGTTAACCAGGTATATAAGCTACCTTCATTCAAAATTTAATTTCAATCGGTTCAGTGGTTCATGCGTTATTAGGTAACAGGCAGACACACAAACACACACCATCTCATTTTTATATATTAGTATAGACTACCATCTATTACGCTGGAAAGAACATTGTGAATCCCTGCGTTAAGACAGAAGTCTTTCTCAGCAAATTTACGAAAATACGTACTTGTATCTTATGTCGGAGTAGCCGTAGTCGTGGACGTGGTCGTGCTGTAGTGACTTGATCAGTCTGCAGCAGTCCTTGAGGTTTGTGCAGGACCTGGTGCCAGTGTCCAGGTTGAGCAGGACGAACATCACTGGTGGCTTCAGCTTGTCTTTGTCTGCGGGACGCTTGGCGTGCCAGTCCTCGCGGGACACCACGGCCAACGGCGGACACTTCTTGGCTACAACAGACATGCGATTACTGGATGCTTCAGCTTGTCTTTGTCTGCGGGACGCTTAGCGTGCCAGTCCTCGCGGGACACCACGGCCAACGGCGGACACTTCTTGGCTACAAGACATACGTCATGAAAATATGGACAACTGGCAACATCGCACACCTTTTAAAAACAAAATATAGTCATTGATAAAGACTTTCCAATGGTCATCTAAATTCAAGTAATACTATTTTACTAGAATTTATACCATTAAAAATATAGTTTAAAATTAATTATTTTTCATTGTGACTTTATTAAGCCGGCTATAAACAGATTAATTTTCAATTATTTATGATTTTCTGAAGATTGCTTGCTTTAATCGGAAATCTAAAGCCAGTTTGTAGTATTATGTGAGGTTAAATCTTAAAACAAAAACACAGTATGGGGAACTCGTTTTGCATGAAGAGTATTCAATACTCGTAAATAAAATTGTCTGTATTTCATTTAATGATCGAATACAATGTAATATGTATTATACACGTACACGATAGTAGCCTATGATACCCCCGCCGCAGCAAACCTGCAGACTAAGCGAATTTCAACTTGTCTGATTACATTTTTACTAAAATATTTCCACAAATAAGACATATTTATTCCCTATTTAAATAACATTATATTTAACGAGTGCTTAGGTTTGCTGCTACGGGGAAGGTAAAAAGTATTTTTTGACCATACGTCAATAGTATAGGATGAAATAAATAAATTTGCCAAATTTTATCAATATATATCCATAAACAAGTAAACTACAACAATTTTCATTTTCTCCATAAGAATAACATGGGAATTTTAAATTACACTATTTTTGAATTTTCTCCGTGACCGTTAGGCATACAACAGCGCTTCAATATACTAAATTATTTCTTTTTTTAAGCTCTACAAAACGGTTTAGGAAGAAATTGCAAATTTTTTTGTTTTTAGGGTCAAAAATGGGAAAAACCCATTTTTACCCCATAAAACCCCCCATAAACCCCCGTTCCCATGGTCCGATAATGCTGGATCGCGAACTCGTTCGAATAAACGTAGGATTACACGTTTGTACCAAATTTAATCAAAATCGGATTATTTTTGCTCGAGGTATCGTGCTAACGGACACATATATAAATATATATATATATATATATATATATATATGAATTTAAACGGATGGTGTTTTTGGTCTCTAGGGACCTCAAAACGAAAAAGTAAATCGGTCCCGGGTCCAGGTCTTACCATGAGTACTACGGTAATAGCATATTCCCTATATGGGAAATTCGCTAAAATGAATATGCTTACGTGCGTACTCGAGCCATCTTCGTCTTGTTCTGAAGTAGAACATGGAACACCTTGTTAACTGCCAGATCTATGAAAGATGTAGTCTTTAGCACAGGGTTGTAACATGACAAAGGGGAGTTGCGAGATAAACTACAACTGTTTATCAGACCAATGCTTATCTTGTTCTCTAAGTAGTTATGTAAAAGTTAGATATAAAGAATTATCTACTATTGATAACAAGTTCAGATATAACACATTATATTATTCACTAGAACTGTATTGTCTACTAATCATCATGTATTAATGTAGAAAATCAATCTACATTTTCACCGTATTAATGTTTTATTGGTGTCAACTGTGATACTGTAGGATAGACTACTCTAGCGACATTCTGAAAAATAAAAAATAAACACTCAACCTTAGAGATTACATGTAAAATTTGTATATTTCAACTGTTAATTGTGTTTTTAAATATCAAATATTAACGCATTGGGTACTGAAATGTTGGTTTATTTGATTGAACATCCGAGTTTATTATTTTGTTTTTGCTGTATATATATAGGGTGTTCTGTTGCACTGAATACACTTACTCAAGTGCAAGGAAGCCCACTTTGTCAGGTGACTGTGGGCAAATTTATTTTAATTTGTTTTAAATTATTTTAATGGGAACTAGCGTATTAATCCAATACTTTTCCGAAGTCAATGCTACATCTGTTTCTTGTAAATGAGATATATACTTGCAGTATCTAATGTCAATGGAACATCTGGTTCGCGTAAATAAGAAATCTACTTTCAGTATCAAATGTAAAAGGTATATTTGGTTCAAATACATGGAATGTGTATTTTCAGTATCCAAAGTCAATGATACGTCTGGTTCACGTAATTGAAATGTCTACTTGCAGTATCTAAACTCATTTGTGCATTTGGTTCACGTAAATGGAATGGCTATTTGGAGTATCTAGAGTCAATGGTGCAGCATTAGCCTAATGCCGGCAACCTTAAATGGATAATTCATTTTTTAGTACATTATAATCAACTATATTGAACCGATTGCTCTTCCCTTTTGTTCTGTATTTGTAATGTGCTAGGTTAGATGATTTGTTGACTAACATAAAATGTTACAACTCTTTTGTTTACCTTTTCATTGTTATCTTGCAAATAATGTCATGGCAACCAATAAACCTTTAAGACCCATGTTAAATTTCTAAAAAGGTAAATTCACGTAGAGAAAATCCCATTTGTCCTAGTTTGGGTTTCATTTCATTTCAAATTTATAACTTCACATATTTGACTACCAAACGAATGTACTAAATTTCATGCAGATCGTTTCAGTAGTTCAGGAGGAGCATATGTAAAACAAAAGCAGGAGTGTAGTATAAGAGCTTCGTTCGCTCCGCTCAGTATTGAAATAAGATGGTACAAATCGACAAGTACTCATCTTCCATTCATAATTGGGTTTCGAACGAGCATGGTCGGACTATGGGAACGAAGGCTTATGGAGTGTTTTATGGAGTAAATATTGATTTTCCAATTTTCCCCCTTAAACATAAAGTTTCAACATTTCTTTCCAAAGAATTTTGTAGAGCTTAAAACTAAATATTAAGTATGCTGAAGTTTTTTATGCACAGTTAATTTATTAGTCACGGTGAAGATTCAAAAAATTGTAAAATTAAAGTCCCCATGTACTTAATGGAGTTAATGTACTTATGTTAGCTTATGGAGATTAAACTCTTTTAGTTTGCTTGTTTATGGATGTATTTTGATCAAACTTGATACATTTATTTATTTTATACATTTTACTAAAAAAACACATTTTATTGCCCTCCCTGTAGCAGCAAATCTAGGTATTCTTTAAACCTAAAACTATTTAAATGGATATAAGTAAAAATCACATCAGGCAAATGGAAATTCGCTTAGTCTGCAGGTTTGCTGACGGAGGTATTTACAAATACGTCATTTTCTATTCTGGTCATCTTTGTTTTACATGTATAGATAAATGTTTCCTTGTTTGTCATTATTATACACTAAAGTAACCGGTGCAGTGCAGAGCAAAGTGACGGAGGCTACTCGTCGATGAGGAAGTGGTGAGTATTTGACAGTAGGTACTACCGCTGCAGCGTGTTCAAGTACAGACCTCAACTTGACGCCCACGTCTGGCTACGTCAGTGGCGCTGGTGTTTTGACTGATGTTCTCCGGGCCAAGGTCTTGAACATTGTCTTCCCTGTTCCTGATCTGTTGGCCCATTGTGCAAAGGCAGTAGTTGGTGTTTCCGACTGTTTATATACTCGGCTCAAGTATTCGCAGCTTTAGTTTCTTCTGTACCTCCGAAGCAACAGCAACAAACAACTTCTAAGGTATTGTAAGCTAGATAATATTCTACTTTGGTAAACCATCATATTATGCCTTATAAATACCAAGGTGTAGTTTATCTTTTAAAGATCATACATGATATCGAATGATGATTTTAGTTTTCTGTACTACTAACTTTTCTTGGTTCGAATGTGCAGTTTCCTTGAAAAATTCGTAAGTGAATTATAGTTTGGTCCTACTAGTATTATTTTAATTTTTTTCATACTATCTTAGTTTATTAAGTGTGTATTGCTGTTTCGATGGATTTTTTACTGTATTGCAGGACACGAACTATTCGTTTTTATTTTATGGTAAATGATTCCTCGCCATTGCACACTTTATACAGGTTGGCATGCAACTGTGCTCTCTTGTCTTTTCCGTGAAATGCTGAGAAATAAGAGACCTAGGCCTAATGCGTTACCAACAGACAAACGGTACATACAAAGTACAAAAATAAAGACATAATTGAATCAGGACGTTTATTATGCTCCAACCAAAGCAATGTACAGATAATTTTAAATGTTTTTTGGTGTCATCAAATTTTAAAACTGAATATTATCGCTATATGCCGTTTGTAATAAAATTTACTTAGTTCCAAGATGATCCGAAATGTATGTATAGTATATGAAATAAAGTACTAAGGAGTGATTAAGTCACTATCACCAATCCAGTGAATACAGTATAACGTTTGAATCTTGATCGATGCTCTAGTATTTTTCAAAGTATGCCGCGTATTTTGGAATGTCGGCGTCACACACACAGTGACAGACAAACAGATAAATAGACCGGCAGAAATTGATTGAATAGTAGTTTTGACTTTCTTAGGCTGTAAAACGTAAAAATAACTAAAAACTTACTACGATTTTGTTTATATAGATAACTTAGCAGAGTGCCCGCCCTTCGTCCGGGGTTGATGAGAAACAGTTACCCACTTATGCCTACTATTTATAGATACCAAAGGCAATTGCCAACCTAGCTTTATTTTAAAATTATTGTTTTTAAATTTTAACTGTGTATCAGCTTAAACAAATGTTTTGCCAACGGCCAGTCAAGTTCAAAGGAAGCTCCTTAAAAATAACAGTTCATGTTATACAAGAAACAGACGGGCAGTGCGGAGTGTGGGAAACGTTTGTGGCAGTTAGATATACATATATTGCATTGTTAATCATTTTTAGGTCATATAACATGAGGTACATAATAGGTCTATCATTTGTATGTATTATACAATATATCATCATCTTAAGCCATACGATCTTTTTAAGAAGACTCTTGTACAATGTACACAGTGCTGTGGCAATAAGGTTAAGTTAGATTAGTTCAGTTTGCCTTCGTTTAGTTTATGATAGGCCTAATAGCATAAAAGGAAGCATTTCTACAAACAAACGTTGATTGGTTAAACTATTGTGTATAATTTTAAAGAGATGAATTTACAAAAGACGTTTTGTACAGGAACGATGGATTTTCCACCTATCGACAATTGTTGGAAATTCACTACAAATTTTACTAATGACTTCGGTTAATAGTTGGACGAGAAGTTATGATTGTTGTTAACTGAGATTTGGTGGATTTGCCCATACAAATAACATTGTGTTCACCAGTGACACCGGCAAGTGCGGGTGAACTCGCCCATTGTTGCGCTCACGTTTACTCATCCCGTTACGCGCAGAATAAGCAAACTACTAACTAATAATCTTTAACTTTATAGGTTATATAATATTAGTAAGATAATTTAACAACTTCATAATCAACTTAACTTGTTATTATTGTACGGAAAGTAAATAAAAATACTACCCTATATTATTTATATATAAATATTCCCCGTCTTATTAAAACAGTCTAAGTGAAAATGTATGTTTCTAATGTTATTTTACATATCTTTTTTACTTTCCGTAATGATAATATTTTTTTTATAAAATAGGTAATGAATTAGTTAACTCTTAAACAAACATTACACAACATATTAATCATTTAGGGTAAATCCACAATGATTTTAATAATGTACGACTTTAATAGAGTGATAAAAAAATAAAGCTTTTACTTCAAGTTAGAGTTTATATTATTCGATCCACAATATGTGAGTCAAAATGAAACTGTAATCAATCAACATATTGTTTAAACTCTCGTTTGCTGTTGATTGTTTAGGTTGAAAATAATTAATGAGCGTCAGCGCTCCCAAAATATTGTTGCCGCTGTTTAAAGTGCTGTTTTCATTCCCTGATCAAACAAAACCGTCATATTGCATTTGAGTTTAACAGCCATGAACTCACTGATCATTAGAATACAAGCAGTAGGACAGGGTGTTAATAAATTAAATTATGTGGGGGGAGATGCTGTGTTATTTAATATGATTGTGTGTGCAGATGGCTCATCAGCTGATATCCGTGGTTGTGATCTGTACACTGTTCACCCTCATCGCCCCTTCACCCTCTCCGGCCCAGAGTCCTAGGTCCTACACAGGGTGTTCCTCTAGTGCTGACTGTGGACAGGGGAGATGCTGTGTTATTTAAAATGATTGTGTGTGCAGATATGGCTCATCAGCTGATATCCGTGGTTGTGATCTGTACACTGTTCACCCTCATCGCCGCTTCACCCTCTCCAGCCCAGAGTCCTAGGTCCTACAGTACACAGGGTGTTCCTCTAGCGCTGACTGTGGACAGGGGAGATGCTGTGCTATTTAACATGATTGTGTTTGCAGATGGCTCATCATCTGATATCCATGGTTGTGATCTGTACACTGTTCACCCTCATCGCCGCTTCACCCTCTCCAGCCCAGAGTCCTAGGTCCTACAGTACACAGGGTGTTCCTCTAGCGCTGACTGTGGACAGGGGAGATGCTGTGCTATTTAACATGATTGTGTTTGCAGATGGCTCATCAGCTGATATCCGTGGTTGTGATCTGTACACTGTTCACCCTCATCGCCCCTTCACCCTCTCCAGCCCAGAGTCCTAGGTCCTACACAGGGTGTTCCTCTAGCGCTGACTGTGGACAGGGGAGATGCTGTGTTATTTAACATGATTTTTTTTTTGCAGATGGCTCATCAGCTGATATCCATGGTTGTGATCTGTACACTGTTCACCCTCATCGCCGCTTCACCCTCTCCAGCCCAGAGTCCTAGGTCCTACACAGGGTGTTCCTCTAGTGCTGACTGTGGACAGGGGAGATGCTGTGTTATTTAAAATGATTGTGTTTGCAGATGGCTCATCAGCTGATATCCATGGTTGTGATCTGTACACTGTTCACCCTCATCGCCCCTTCACCCTCTCCAGCCCAGAGTCCTAGGTCCTACACAGGGTGTTCCTCTAGCGCTGACTGTGGACAGGGGAGATGCTGTGTTATTTAACATGATTTTTTTTTTGCAGATGGCTCATCAGCTGATATCCGTGGTTGTGATCTGTACACTGTTCACCCTCATCGCCCCTTCACCCTCTCCAGCCCAGAGTCCTAGGTCCTACACAGGGTGTTCCTCTAGTGCTGACTGTGGACAGGGGAGATGCTGTGTTATTTAAAATGATTGTGTTTGCAGATGGCTCATCAGCTGATATCCGTGGTTGTGATCTGTACACTGTTCACCCTCATCGCCGCTTCACCCTCTCCAGCCCAGAGTCCTAGGTCCTACACAGGGTGCTCCTCTAGCACTGACTGTGGACAGGGGAGATGCTGTGTTATTTAAAATGATTGTGTTTGCAGATGGCTCATCAGCTGATATCCGTGGTTGTGATCTGTACACTGTTCACCCTCATCGCCGCTTCACCCTCTCCAGCCCAGAGTCCTAGGTCCTACACAGGGTGTTCCTCTAGTGCTGACTGTGGACAGGGGAGATGCTGTGTTATTTAAAATGATTGTGTTTGCAGATGGCTCATCAGCTGATATCCGTGGTTGTGATCTGTACACTGATCACCCTCATCGCCGCTTCACCCTCTCCAGCCCAGAGTCCTAGGTCCTACACAGGGTGTTCCTCTAGCGCTGACTGTGGACAGGGGAGATGCTGTGTTATTGGTGAGTAGGTCTTACAACCTCGAGTCTGTGTGGTTTTTATTATAAAATTTTTTAATAATTAATTTAGGTACAGATTTTTTTATTAATATTGTTATTTAGTCGGCTATTTTGAAAACTAGATTTTTAAATAGTATTTTATGTGTTAGTGTAATCATACACATTTGATCAATTACGTTTTCTTATACTCTTCCATTTATCTACATTTATATTGTACATGTTTACAGTGTACAAGTATTAAAATTGTTTAGCTTATTAAATTTTGGGGCTTTTTGGTTTATGAGAATTAAAATACGATGACGTGTTTCATTTCTTATATTCCAATAGGTGAAAATGTTTTGAAAAGTGTAGTAGAAGACATATTTTGTCATATTCCTTTGACTTAATCAGGGTTTCTTTCTTGTGTGACTTAACAAAGCGAAATCAATATGGAGAGCCAAACGTGGTCTTTGATTGTGAATATTGAATGAAGAATTAGAAATGTAAAAAGTAAGAATGGTTTTAAAACCAAAACCTTCGTACACAAAAGGTACTTAATACATTAATTTAATTTTTTGAATTGTCTAAAAAGGTACGACTTTTACAAACATTAAATTGCAAACATCATTCTAAAATCTTTGAAACCGGATCTGGTAAAACATAAATAATCTGACTTTTCCCCCTCATACAATTTCAAAGCTAAATATTTATTTGAACAATTTGACTTGAGTAGTAGCATTTACTTTTGAATATCATTGGGTAGACATTCCATCTATAGCTAATAGCTATAGCTAATTTTTATTCAAATGGAAAATCGTTTTCTGAGTTAGCCATTGTTAATTGTTTTTTTTTCTTTTAGAGCTTAAAACTCTGATAGTTGGTGCTAGATTCCATAGTTTACATTAAGTAAATCATTCCGTAAGTCTTGGTTCAGGAGTGGGATCATGCAGATATCAGTAATAGACAGTTTAGTAACACACTCTGCACATTAGGATGGAGTGTCTGGTCCTATCTAGGCTGTAGTATATTCAGCAAGGTATGTGTGTTTTAGTTGGAGGACGATACCCCACGACGGCGTGTATGCAGCGGCCCCAGGCAGGTCAGCAGTGCCGCCCCTCTAGCAGCAGACCTACCAGCACTACGCTACAGTTCCCTGGGGGTGCGAGTGTCTTCGTCACTGATGTCTATAAGAATCTCTGTCCTTGTGAGAGCCCTGCCATGTGTTCTTCTAGCGGAACATGCACCCGATAATGTGTTACCGATAATTAAATTATTATTGTTACCTTACAATATCCGTTTGGTGTTGGTAGATAGACAACTACATGTTTCGTGGCGACTGCCACATCCTCAGGTTATCCTCTTCTCAGATTCGTCATCAATTTAAAAATATAAAACACTGAACACATATTTTTAAATTGATGACGAATCTGAGAAGAGGATAACCTGAGGATGTGGCAGTCGCCACGAAACATGTAGTTGTCTATCTACCAACACCAAACGGATATTGTAAGGTAACAATAATAATTTAATTAAATAAAGCAATATCCAGAAGTAGGACAATGAATTCTGTTACCGATACACTGTGATACCAGTAATATTTATTTATTTAATTATTTATACAAATAATAAACATACTTCATAGTTGAAATACCGAAGTCTACTTACCTACTCAGACCTCCTTTAGTTTCTTCGTGACTCGTTAGGGATTACCCTAAAGCCATTAGTTCACCTAAATAACTAGTAAAACCTAATTAATTCTTTATTATTCCATGGGGCTATTGAGTGATTAAGAGTCAATTAATCGTTATAGTTCGGCCGCTTAGAAAACTACCTGCGCGCTAATGCTAAACCAATGCTGGAGGAGGTCGCTTTCTAAGCGGCCGAACTATAGTCATGTAAATAGCCGTACCATTATATCGCGGTTCTAAATCAATAGAGTTTTTAATGTGCACAATAGTAAAAAGCGTTGGAAAGATTTGTTAAGGAAACTGTACTATTTAAAGTTAAATAATAAGAAATCACTGTTTAAGCAGTTAAACTTGCAATTATTGACATATCCTCAGCCAATCATCAGATATAAAAAGCGTTTATCACCGTGACTTTATGAAACCCGCATAATGCGGTCCAACACTAAGAAAAACTTTAATCTCAAATTAAAATGTATATTACTTTACGTCGAACTTAAAATGTTACAGGTTTTTAAAACTAAAATTACACCAGGGCTGTATAGTAAAATCTTAAAAAGTTGTCAATCTACTGCCATTTTGTATTGGTTTGGATAAAGACTGGTTGACTGGTTGGTAGCTTAAAAGCCTTTGACATTTTTTTTTAGAACCAATAAACAAAGTAGCCATTTACTAAATAATGGGGGTTTACTAACAAAGCTGTAAACTGCCTCTATTCAAGTCAATTTCAAAACATTGGGTTAATGTTTTAATCTAAAACATTGTTAGCGAATTTCCCATATAGGGAATAAGCTATTACCGTAGTACTCATGGTAAGACCTGGACGCGGGACCGATTTTTTTTCGTTTTGAGGTCCCTAGAGGCCAAAAACACCATCCGTTCAAATTCATATATATATATATATATATTTATATATTTATATATATATATATATTGTGTGTGTGTTCGTCAGCACGATAACTCGAGCAAAAATGATCCGATTTTGATGAAATTTGGTACAAACGTGTAAACCTACGTCTATTCGAACGAGTTCGCGATCCAGCATGATCGGACCATGGGAACGGGTGTTTACGGGGGGTTTTATGGGGTAAAAATAGGTTTTTCCCAATTTTGACCCAAAAAACATAAAATTTAGCAATTAATTTCCAAACCATTTTGTAGAGCTTCAAAAAACAAATAATTTAGTATATTGAAGCGTTATTATGCGCCTAATGGTTACGGAGAAAATTCCAAAAAATTGTAAATTTAAAATTCCCATGTTATTCTTATGGAGAATAGTAAACTGTTGTAGTTTGCTTGTTTATGAACATATTTTGATCAAATTTTGAAAATGTTTTTATTTCTTACTAACTATTAACATTTTACAAAAAAAAAACAGTTTTACCCTCCCTGATGCAGCAAACCTAAGTACTTGTTAAACTAATTCTATTTAAATCGGGAATAAATGTTATATTTTTAAGTAGACATTTCAGTGTAAATCCAATCAGTCAAATGGAAATTCGCTTAGTCTGCAGGTTTGCTGCGGCGGGGGTATTTTTATATTTTGATGGGTTTTGAAGTTACGTATTTTCACAATTTTCTGTATGTGACTGCCTAGAAAGGCTATTGGCCGTCTATACTACTGCTTGTATTCTAATGATCAGTGGGTTCATGGCTGTTAAACTAAACTCAAATGCAATATGAAGGCATTGTTTGATCAGGGAATGAAAACAGCACTTTAAACAGCGGCAACAATATTTTGGGAGCGCTGACGCTCATTAATTATTTTCAACCTAAACAATCAACAGCAAACGAGAGTTTAAACAATATGTTGATTGATTACAGTTTCATTTTGACTCACATATTGTGGATCGAATAATATAAACCTTCACACCAAGTAAACAGTTGACTATTTCCAGATATTTCTAAATTTGTGATTGAATATTCTACGAGTGTGTGAGTGAATGAAGTGGATTAATTACAGCACATGAGTTGCTAAAAATATATTTTACAGTTATGCGGTGTGTGGTATGAGTTGTCATATAATCAAATTTACAGTATGATTTGTACATTATCAATTGGCTCATAAATTATGTTCACAAAATAAACTTGGAAATGCCTGAATCCTAACAAAGTAGTAAAAGGAAGTACTATTAAAAAAATATAATAAAAAGATTGAGTTTGCTGTTTGGATCAATCTGAGGAGCTTAAAACTCACGGCTGCGATCACTAACTCTACACCACGACCTTTGTTGGCATCAAAGATCCAGTAGATCTATAAATAGATTCACTTTATTCTATGTGAAAATCTTGGTAAGCTGTTGAAGTTTGCAAATCATCAAACAGAATCGTTCACTCAATAGTGATACTAATTACCTATCATTATTTATTTAGTATATAATCACCAGTTTCCACAAATTAAAGATATATATGAATTACAACACTTAACAACAAATCAATACATTGAGGAGCATTTATAATGTGATGAAAATCATATCACAGTTATTTGCAGCATGTTAAATAAAAAAATGTAAAAAGTAAACAACAATATTCTTAAATTAAGATTTGGGAATCAAGTTTTTATTTGATTTACTAGATGATATGCTGCAATTCTCTATGGCCGTTGTATGGTCCTGCCAACGATGTATGTTCCTGGCAGATTACACGTGTCTTGCGACAACATGGTTGATATCATCAGATCCAAATTCTTGAGTAGGTACATCTATCCGGTAATTTAGTATTTACACATCTTAAGCAAATACGAACACATCACACGAGAAAAAAAATTTACGTGATCGTCATAAAAGTTGGTATTTCAATTGTTTAATGGTTTAAGGCCCGAAATTGTCCCAGGTCGACGGTGGGTTAGGAACCTAGGTGTCATCATACAGGATATAATCTCTTTCCTAGTGTTATGTGTTCTTATTTGTTCAACTTGTGTTTAACACTCAACAGGACTTATTGTTGCCTCTTTTAAAGGGACATTTCAAGTTTTAATGGAATCTGATGAGCAACGGTGTTTTCAAAGTATTTGCAATCTGCAAGTAATAACCAGGATCGGACGGCAGACGTTAGGTACTTAATCTGTCAAATTTTAGACCAAATAAGAAGAGTGAAATTAGTTTTGTAACACAATAATATTGCATTTGTAAGTATCATCTGCCATAGCTTTTAACAAGTAAGCAGGTTTTAAAGTTTTCAAAAGTTTGGTGAAACATGGACTTTTAAAAGTACATTTATTTTAAACCACAGTAACATGTATGCTCACAGTAACATGTGTATGTGTGTTTCTGTAGTAACATGTTTTTAAATATTAAGAATTTAACATAAAATTGTACATACATGAGGATGGATGAGAAGATTATTTGTATAGTGCTTTAGCAGTTTAACTTCATTAGCTCAAGTTCCACTGAATTGTAACAAGAGGTAGGGTTTGTAGGAAATCACCAGCAAAGCCAAGAAGTAAGCCTACAGTTACATCCATGTTATTAAAATTACTTACCTACATCTGCAAACGAGACATAATTGGATTCAAACAACCTTTTAAGCTGTACCATAAATAATACACTGACACACTTTAAAAGGTGCCTTACCTTTGCTTCCAGAATAAGTTCCAAAAGGGTATTATGGCGTGTTGCATATTATCGTGCCAAACATTTATAATATATACCTAATATTTTTTAAATATTTATGTTAGTTATTGGACATGACGGTTATAAAGAATACTGTAACAACAAAATGTAAACAGTACATGAGAATCTTAACTAAATCCAACTACAATATACTAGCTATTATAACAGATTATAATAATTCCTAACGATATGTAAATAATAACTTGTATTGTTTTTTCACAAATATTATCTGACGTTTGTAATGCAATGTATTTTGTCGACTACAATAAACAAATTATTATTATTAGATTAATGATATACGGGTGTTGAAAATCAGTTTATCGAGTAAGTTTATTTGTTAGAATAAAATGAAAAATCAATTTTATTTATATTACAATTTTATTAAAACTGAATTTACACTACATATAGGTTGTAAACTTAAAAGAATAGTTCAATAGTTATTTGTGTAACTAGTGGACAAAGGCAGTTTGCACTCGCGTTATACATTATATTTTTACTGTGCGGCAAAAGTAAAAACTGTGCGTTAAAGTAAGTAAATGCAGCAATTGGCAAATTTCTGTGCTATAATCAGTGCAAGGAAGGCCACTTTCACAGGTGACTGTAGGGTAAATGCTTTCCATTAACTTCTATGCATTTTTCCACAGCGTTTTTTACACTTGCAGCAATCCTTTTCAGCGATTGTTATTCTTGTTTAAGGCTTCAAATTCTCTTGCGGTGGCTGCTCTAAATTTCAGAACATCTAGGGGCTGTTCGGCAAAAACATTATTTTTACAAATAAACCAGGCAAAACAAGACAAAATCTTTCTACAAATAGCTGAATAACTTCTTAACTATTTTTATTTGTTTTCCAACAACTTTTTAAAAACTAAAATGCACTCCTCGGTTTTTAGTTTGCGGTTCATGGTTACTGTCAACTCGAAATTAAAATCTAAATATATAATCTAATATTTTTAAAGTGTTGTATTTCTGCTTGAAATGGTTTGAATGTGTAATTTTGAAATTACGATTAAGATA